CTTCTCCCTCTCCCACTCCCCCTGCTTGTGTTCCTGCTCTCGCTGTCTCTGTCTCTGTCAAATAAATAAATAAAATCTTTAAAAAAAAAAAAAATACGCATACCCACAAACACAAAACGAAGTAATACAAATTATTTCGTTAAAATATAGAAAGACAACAGTGGGCTTTATTACAGGATATTTTCAGAGGTCACAGTACACACTAAATTAAGAAATGTATTCCAGTCTCAATTATTTCAGGTTTATGTGATGTGGTCCCAGGTGACCTAAGAATCACTTTATTTGGCACCCTCAGGAAAGCAAGGCCTGTGTGCCTTTGGAACCGGCTGGATATCCGTTGTTCTGACAGATTATTCTATTTATTATTCACTCAAAACATTAAACTCCACATTGAACATCTGTGTCTTAAATGTTAGGAAATCCTGCGTCTAGAATCTAACTTCATTATCACAGCAATGGAACAGAACATTTGTTTTAAAACGTTTTATTTGCTGAAAAGGTAGTACAGCCACAGAGCACAGTTTTCGAAAAGTTATGGAAGGACATACAGTTGTCTCCCAATGCCATGCCCCCAGCCACCCACTCCCCCTGCCCTTTCCCAGAGGTGATCAGGGTTCTCGGCTGCTCATGTATCTTCCCAGAGATAGTTTATGCATATATGCTCAATTATGTACTTGCAATTTGTTCTTCTTATATGCGAACGGTAGCATATTCACTGTCCTGCACCTTGCTTTTTGCACCTAATAATGTATGTTGGAGATTGTCCCACATCACTACACACACGATGTCCAAGTTCTCTTTATATATATATATATATATATATATATTCGTTTTGTTCTCTTTATATATATAAAGTTCTCTTTATATATATATATATATTCAAATATTATATATATATTCGTTTTGTCTATCTAGCAGGCTTGCTGTATGAACATACCAGGATTTCAGGATCCAGACCCGTCATCTGGACAGCTTCCAACCTTTTGTTTTTATAAAAGTGCACCAGTGAATATCTCTGTGTGTTCGTCATTTTGTACACTCATGAGTATATACATTCCTAGAAGTGGAACTGCGGGTCCAAAAGCCATTGCCTTTGTGGTTTTCATTACTTTGGAATCATTTTTATTTGAATAAGAGTTTTTCCTGGACTTGCTGTCTCCTGGAGGTTCACGTGGGGTAAGAAAAGGGGGCCACATTCTAGGCAGATAAGTTTTTTTCTTACAACTGGTTTTTTTCCCCGTTTGGTACTTCTTTTAGATTTGACTTCTCCAGAGTCCATAAACCGGGGCAGCTGTCGGGTTCTTCACAAGGAACACTCCCTTCTCTTGCCCCAGCCCATCGAGTGCTCCTCTCATGAGTGCAGACTACTTTCTACAAATACGGCTTGTCTGAGCGATTCCTTGTGGAGGCCTCTGCCAGTCTCTCCTCAGACCCCAAATGGGTCTGGGAGACATCCTACCTCCTACCTGCCAATGCTCTCTGTTACTGTGGTGGATGTAGTTGGCCTTGCACTCGGGGGATATCCTGAACCTCAACTAAGAGCCCTCGCCAGTGCGGCCCCACGTGTGCAGCCTTGAGCATTCGCTTCGAAATCTCCTGCCCTGGCGCTCGATCCCCTCTGCCTCCGGCAGCGCGCTCATCAGGGCTTCCGCTATCTCGTGTCAGATACAGAGATTACACTTCCGCTTTTGCTCCTTGTAGTGTTTGGGTGAGGACTGAGATGAAAAGAAAAGAGACTGACTTTTACTCCCCATATTTAAACCAGAAATCAGAACATACTTTTAAAATGTTAATTAAATGGACAAAACTTTCCCTCCGTGAACGGTGACAGGCACCCTTGATCTACTCTCTAATGTGCAATGAGCTTTGACTTCCGGCTGTGGCCCTTCCCGTGGGCCTTCTTTCCCGTGTGTGTTCTCTGATGTACAATCAGGTTTGATTTTTGGGTAAAGGCCTTCCCACACTCTGCACACTTATAGGGTTTCTCTCCGGTATGAGTTCTCTGGTGTACAGTGAATGTGGATTTTTCTCTGAAGGCTTTGCCACACTCAGAGCACGCGTAGGGTTTCTCTCCTGTGTGTGTTCGCTGATGTATTATGAGCTGGGACTTTTGGCTAAAAGCTTTCCAACATACGGGACATTCATAGGGTTTCTCTCCTGTGTGAATTCTCTGATGTATAATGAGCTTGGACTTTTCTCTGAAGGCTTTGCCACATTCGTTACATTTATAGGGTTTTTCTTCCGTATGAGTTCTTTGATGTATAATGAGGTATGATTTCTGGGAAAATGCTTTTTCACATTCACTGCATTCATAGGGCTTCTCTCCTGTATGACCCCTCTGGTGGAGCATGAGATAGGATTTCTGAGAGAATGCTTTCTCACATTCATTACATTCAAAAGGTTTCTCTCCTGAATGCGTTCGCTGATGTACGCCAAGGTTTGATTTTTGGGTGAAGGTTTTCCCACACACATCACATTCATAGGGTTTCTCTCCTGTATGAGTTCGCTGATGCACGATGAGGGTTGACTTCTCATTGAAAGACTTCCCGCATTCAGTACATTTATGAGGTTTCTCCCCTGTATGAGTTCTTTGATGTATAATGAGAGTTGACTTATCACTGAAAGTTTTCTTACACTCATTACATTCATGGGGTTTCTTTCCTGTATGAGTACTATGATGTATAATTAGATCAAGCTTCTGTATGAAAGATTCCCCACATTTAGTGCATTCGTAAGTTTTCTCACCCGTGTGGGTTTTCTGATGGACAATGAGGTTTGACTTCTGAGTGAAGGCTTTTCCACATTCATTACATTCATAAGGTTTCTCTCCTGTATGAGTCCTGTAATGTATGATGACGGTTGACTTTTCTCTGAAGGCTTTTCCACATTCTGGACACTCAAAGGGTCGCTCTCCTGTATGACTTCTCAAGTGTATAATGAGCTGAGATTTTTGGCTAAAGGCTTTTCCACATTCAGTACATCCAAAGGGTTTCTCTCCCGTATGAGTTCTCCAATGTACAATGAGGTGTGACTTCTTGCTGAAGGTTTTCCTACACGCGGTGCATTCGAAGGGTTTCTCTCCATTTTTAATTCTCTCTTGTAGACTAAGCCCTTTCTTCCGCCTGAGGGCCTTCCCACACTCTCTATATCCGTGGGGCTTTACTCCAGGAGTTTTCTCATACTCCGTATGGAAGAATAATTTTGCACATCCATTATCATGTTTCTTTCCTACAGAGCTTCTGGTAAATAAGTCTAAACTATCTACCATATTTCCAAATGGCTCATGTTTATGGGACCTTTGTATTGAAGCAACAAGGTTTGTATTCAGAGGAAGTGCATTTCCAAATTCATTATAGTCATGGCCAGTCTTGGTGAGAATTGTTTTCTTGTCAGGGAATCCAGCTTGCATCAACAGATATCTGTCTTGGTCATCCTGGTGCTGTCTCTCAATCTGTTCATCAATTTGACAGGCTGCTTCTAGAAGGAAGTACAATAAACCATTTTTGTAACTTAACATTATATAATGAACCTTCTTTAAAAATTCCCTACCATATGAAAGCTGATACTATTATCTCATTTTATCTGAGCTCCTAGAGAGGATCTTGACCATCAAATCCTGTTCTTTTACTAAACTCCCACCTGCTAAGCTTTTTGTTACCAAGAACAATCTTACCCTGACATCTCAGTCTGTCTTACCTCTACTTTTACATCATCTCTGATTTCCATCCACTCTGGGGACCTTATCAACCTTTATCTTCATTTATCATATGAACTCCTAAGTGTACATGACTTATACTATTTCTAACTAAGTAGAAATGCAACAGTGTGGTTAGTGGACTCAAATTTTACAACAATCCTGAATCCACATTCTTAGTGAATCAGAGAAAGATCTAGAATAACCTTACAAAAACAAAGAAAAACTCAAAGATCTTTCCCCAATCTGGATTCATCCAAGCTTGCATTCACAGTTCTTCAACACCACCTTCTGCTCCTGTCTACACTATTTTCGCTAAAAACTATGACTGTATTAATGCCAAACCCTTCCTCATGTTCTATCACCCACATAGCCTAGTCTCCCATATTTTGCCATATTCAAAATCTAGGTAACTTTCAAGAAGCAATTCAGTCTTTTCAAAGAAGCTTATTCTGATCTTCCTGTAGAACTTTAATTTTTGTTAATTTGTAAAGTAGTTATCTATACCACTCGTTTAGACAGTTAAAGTTGCAAAGCTTTGCCTTAAATATACCATATTCCATCAACTGCAAGATGCATATTATTTCACATTTTAACACATTTCTGAATCCAGATGTAACTTATAATCAGTGGCATGTCATCAATTAATTGGTGGCAATTTTTCTTAGTGGTATGTATTAAAATCAATTGGATCCTGAAGTCAATAAAATATGGTAAATACTTTTTGCATATATACCGAATTTTAATCATCTTTGTAGTTTACTTTTCACCTTTTCCTAAAATTTTGTGTGAAAAAATGTACAGAAAAGATGAAAGAGTACAAAAACTACTCACACTACCACTCAGATTTAATAGTGATAACATTTACAATTGTAATACTGAATTTTAAAATGGACCATGTTCCTACGACATCCTTAATATCATTAGCAAAAAACTAGTTCTTAGGCATGAATATCAGAATCACAGAAAAAGTTTTTACAAAATACATCTGCTGGGACCACCCAAGCTCCACCAAGCATCTACTAAATCTGGACGTCGTTAGATAGATGGTAAGCAGCAGCATGGTTAGGGCCATAAGCTCTCTAGCCCAGGATCAAATCCTGGCTCAACCATTCACTTGCTCTGTGACCTCAGCAACTTACCTAATCTATTTGTATTTTATTTCCCACCTGGAAACAGGAATTATAATAGTGCCCACCTAAATATGTTAACAGGGATTAAACAACTTCTAACGGGGCATGCATGGCACACAGGAAGTACTTTTTTTTTTTTAAGATTTTATTTATTTGACAGAGACATAGTAAGAGAGGGAACACAAGCAGGGGGAGTGGAAGAGGGAGAAGCAGGCTTCCCGCGGAGCAGGGAGCCCGATGCGGGGCTCCATCCCAGGACTCCGGGATCACGACCTGAGCCGAAGACAGACGCTCAACAACTGAGCCACCCAGGTGCCCCCAGGAAGTACTTTCAACTGTTTACTAGAACAACTGATGCTACTACTACAATAACTAATCTGGTTAAGAGCCACTACGCTACTACAAAAAGAAAGAACTCAATATATTTAACATGCTCTTGACCATTAAGTGAAAAAAGGTGAATAAAACTGTAGGTAGTAGGCTACCATTTTTCGAAGGAAAGAAATACATGAATACCTATTTATATAGACTCATCATGTAAACAAGGGAAGAATATACCTTTAAATTTTAATAAATGGTTACCTACAGAAGGAAGGAAGAGAATGAAATGAAGGGAAAGAAACTGAACTTCTTTAAATATACCTTGTTTTCTAGATTCGACTTTGGAACCAAGTAAGTGTTTTATATATTCATAAAGCAAAACTGAATTTAAAAGGATTCCATAATAATAATATACCCTCACCTGTATTTCCAAACAACCACTGCTGAAAAGTCTTGATTCTCAATGGCATCAACATGATTACCTCAATTGATTCAAACCACTATCGACAGCAGTTTCAGAATAATACTAACAATATTACCATCAGATGTAAGAATAACAAAAACCTTTAAGCCCAGAATTTGATTTGGAAATACCAATTTTTTAAATGATGGGGAAGTATCAATTTGAATACATGATATATTTTCTCTTAAAAATCTTTTTTTTTTTAAAGATTTTATTTATGTGAGACAGAGAGAATGAGAGAGAGAGAGCACATGAGAGGGGGGAGGGTCAGAGGGAGAAGCAG